CTTCCTTAAGCATGCAATCAAATATTCTTAAATTACATACACAGTAAAAAGATTGTCAGCACAGAAAAGACTCCAGCTGGGCAGAGTAAGTAAAGTGGCCTTCAGAGCTGTCTATCAGGAGCTACAATTGCAGTGTACAGCAAATGGAAGTTAGTGGGTAAACTTCAAAATACTTTCTTAAAACCTGAATATTCCAGTCTGCATGAAATGAAAGACTCTGTGTCAAGCCTCTTATTGGGTATTTATTTATATCATTCGTGTATTTGCTTTGCAAGTAAAGGATCTTTATTAATCTTTGTTATCTACCTGTAGGTAGTTCTACTTGGCTATCACTGGAGTAGCAGAGAATTTGAAGATGATCTTCTTGTCCACAAGCCTGTTGCTAGGTGGACTGCTGAGGAAGTGATATTCTGGCTGGAGCAGCTGGGCCCATGGGCTTCACATTACAAAGAAAGATTTTTACTGGAGAAAGTAAATGGAAGGTGAGGGCCTGATGGTGAAGGACGACTATTATGTGATTGGACTGCTGATAGATTCCTTGGGGTGGCTTATTGTGAAATGTCTGTACTGGGTTACATAGATTGTGGGAGTATTCTGTTGATATATCAGAGTAATTTTCAGAAGAAATTTTAACAATTGCTGTTGAAAACTTTTAGTAGTAGATACTCAGCAAGCTACCTGAAAATGTTCTAAGAACTTTTTAAAATGCTGACGACACAGACTGAAATGAGACCGAGAGTAAAATTCTACTGATGTATTATCCACCTCTTCCACCTTTCCTTTCTTGTGGCTATATGCATATGTATTCCACCCAAGAGCCATGCTGAAAGCAGGCAAGAGGAAACTGGAAAAGAAGGAAATCTAAAACCCAGGCTCTGAGATGCAGTTGGTGTAGAACACTTGATATGCAATGTAATGATGATCTTTTGAAGTCCCTGCCAACCCAAAGTATTCTACCATTCTTTAACCCAAAAGGTGCTGCCTTATATCAGTAGCTTGTTGTTTCAGTATGCAGTTGTATATTTGTTAGTCATCTTTTTTTAGTGAATAGGCACTGTTTACCTTTTCAATTCTTCTGCTTTTGTAGACTCCTCCTAACACTGACTGAAGAGGATTTCACCAAAGAGCCTTACAGTATAGAGAACAGTAACCATAGGAGAGCTATTATGGCAGAACTGGAACGTGTGAAAACTTTAGGTGTTAAACCACCACAGAACCTTTGGGAATATAAGGTAGATTTTATATAAAGTGTATCATGTCAGGTATATTAACTATTTTTAAAGTAATACCTTTAAAAGAAGGTTCTCTTAAAGCCAGGAGGAGTGTTGAAGCAGTGGAATTACCTGTGTAAAATCTTCTCAGTTTAATGAACTGTTGTATTTGAAAAACAAGCCTTTGAAAAATGATTGTCAGAATATCTAAGAACTGGCATGTCCCTTTCATTTTATTTTTTCACTGATTGAAACTTGATAATTTGATACCTTTTAGGCCATAAACCCAGGAAAATCACTTTTTCTTCTGTATGCACTGAAGAGTTCTCCAAGACTCAGTATGTTATACCTATACTTGTTTGATTATGCAGAAGCTTTCCTACCTTTCATCCACACAATTTGTCCTATGCAAGAAGACAAGTATGAAGATACTGTCACAAAACTGCTTGTAAGTATTCAAAGCATTGAATATGATACTTGCTTTAGTTGTAAGCATTTTAAGATTAGCAGCATAAAAACACGATGTAATTATTCATCATTTCATCTCTTTACACTGTGACTTTAAAAACAACATTCCTACAAAGGAAGTGGTTCTTTGATTTTATTGTATGCAAAAAAGTGTTGCAACCATTACCTTTAATAGGATTGATTTGGGGCTTTTAAGACTTTGGATTCTTCTGAAGTTCATATGACTACAGAAAGTGATGTTCTAATCTAATGGAAATTACTGCATTACAGTATTATCTACTAACAAGTGTAATAAAGATAAATTACTGCTTTCAGTGTATAAAGCCCCCAGCTTTTCAACAAAAGACTATTGGAAATAAGCCAGTATTAAGTCAGTTTAATAGAAAATTGATTAACAGTCTTTTTTAATCCTAATTTACAGGACCTTAAAGATCCTTCTTGGAGGCAATGGAGAGAATTCACTGTGAAGTATTTATTTTTGCCATACCAGTTGATAGCTGAATTTGCCTGGGATTGGCTAGATGTGCACTACTGGACATCAAGATTTATAATTGTAAATGCCATGTTGCTCTCTGTTCTGGAATTATTCTCCTTTTGGAGGCTCTGGTTAAGAAGAGAATTGAAGTAAGTGTTACTAAGCTTGTGGAAGAGGGTAGGAAGAACATGGCCTTATAAAGAGAAAGTAACAGCCTTACAATTTCACAGCTGCTCACAGAAATGAGTGTCTAACCCAAACTTTGAGATTAATAACATGTGAATCTGCATTCCCACATATGTTACTGCTTGCTCTTGAATACCTTTACTTCTGTGCATGCTTCCAAGGTTTTTAGAGGTTTTGCTTATCAGGTGTAGCAAATGTGGAAACAGTAACAAGCATGTTCTTAACCACTGGGATATACTGAACGTTACCTTGAGAACTGCCTCTAATGGGGCCTGGTATTAACTGTCAGCTGAGAACTAAATACATCAGAATGTAGCCATGATACAGTGTAGTTATTACAGGATGAGTCCTCATAATCATAAATAAATTTAGTTATACTGATACTAGTTCTGATAATTAATCAGAATTTCTGTTTCCTGTTATTACCTCAGTCTTAATTCAAGCATATTAACATTCATACTTGCTGTGATCTTTGGAAATTGTATGGGAGAAATTCTTATTTAGGTGTGTAGTGTGTTTTCCCTTTGCCAGCGATAGAGGGCAGAAGGTGCCCAGAACAGCACAGGGAATATGGCAGAACCTGAAGCAGAGCTGGGATGTGGCACTGGAACCTGCTGGCTTCGGGGCCTAAGTGCACTGACTCAGTGCTTTCTCTTTAAATCTGGTGCTACTGGGTTTTAGGAAAGTTCTTCCTGGAGTGCAAAATGGTAATTTTTACAAGTACCCGAGTAAGGGCTAAGTAATTTAAAGCTGTAGCACCTATTAGCTTTTCTTAGAGCTGAGTGAAAACCAACCAGAAAGTTCCTCTAAGCCTTTCCCTTTCCTTTTTCACAGGACTATTCCTCACAGGATGTGGAGACATTTCTGGAAAGTCTCAACCCAGGGACTTTTTGTTGCCATTTTTTGGCCTTTTATTCCTCAGTTTGTCTGCAATTGTTTGTTTTACTGGGCCTTGTATTTTAACCCAGTTATAAACATTGATCTTGTGGTTACAGAGATCAGACGTCTGGAGACACAAGTGCAATGATTTGCATTGGAACTCATGAGCTGTTTAGCTTCTAAAAATGGTCATTTTGAATAAACTTTGCTTTTCTTCTTTATCTATGTGGCAGTCAAAATGGTGGATTATATTAATTTAAACATACAAAAAAGCTTTAAGGTAAGTTACTCTTCAACCAGCTGATTCCAAATAGGAGGATGAAGGAAAAAGGGATTTTCTGTTGGGGAAAAAAAAAAAGCACATTCCTGTATAGCCATATAAAACTCATACAGTCATCTCACCTTATTTGTATCAGATAAATTTCTTTATTCTGTCCTGAGCATCCTGTGTATTTTCAAGCCTGCCTTAAAATCAGTGTCTTCTGCACTGCTACAGTGATTTCTTTCTTTTTCTTTTTAAACTTAGAATTTTATACTAGCAATGGGTTCCTCAATTTCAGTTTGCCAAAGGAATGCCCTTCCTGGATAGGCTTGATATTGAAAGAACTTTATTTATTTCAGTCTTCTTTACATGTAGCATTGTGACTGCCCTATACGCAGCCTCACAGTAGAGTTTGTTCCAAAATTCCTATAGTTGAAGGCAAAGACTACTTGAATTTTCTTGTGTCTTGGAAAATGTGGTAATTACCATGGGAATTTTTTTAGTCAGATCTGTTAGGCTTTAGTTTAGGCAATAGCTCCTTTCACTCTCTCTTCTTGAATTCTGTTGCTAATTCTTAAATTCAGGGTTATCTCTTAAAAAGGATTATTTTGGAGAAGTGACCTGACACTGTAATTACTTATGGCAATATAATGTATATTTCTATGTCTGTGAGCAAGTATTGACTGGAAAGTTATTTTGTGTAAGCAGGATTGACATTTGTTAATGTATGTTCCTTTGACTGAATCAAAAGGTAAGATTTTTTCAAGAACTTTGGCCCCTTCATTCTGCATTGGTTTGTTGTTTTGTTTATTTCATTTGTGTCAGTAATGTGAACTAAATTTGGCTATGAATATTTTTAATGATTAAAGATCTCTCTTGAAATCTTCACTATTCCTATAGAGGTGGGTTATTTTATTTGGGTTTTGATTTTTGGTTTGTTTTTTTTAATATTGAAGTAAATGTCATTAGCTTTGACTTGTGCAAACGTGTTCTTTAGCCCTGCACCTTTGAGTAAGTTGAAGCGGAAAGTTGGTGAAAAATAGACATAAAACACTCCTGGCTCTATAACTGCTAAAATCAGTAGTTACAAAAAGTGTATGATTCAGCAGCTCAAGGTACTGATTTCTCTTCCCAAAGGGTTAAAAATATCTATGAAGTGACCCTAGCTAAAACCAGCTTTACATCCTGATGAGATATAAACCTCACTTCACTTCTGAGCTTCATAAACTCTTGCTGTGCAGATCGAACACTTGTGGGAAAGCCACTTGGTCCCAACAACTCCTGAATTTTTTCATGTTTGTTTTGGTGATGGTTTGCATTTGCATTTTTAAACCTGGCCCTAAAGTTCTAAGGGTGGAATTCTTCCTTGTACTTACAGGTAATTCAGGGTGTACATAGAGTTAGGAGTTTGAGCCATATCAAATAAGCAGCTGTTTAGAAAACTATTTAGAAATTATTATATTAGGCCTTCTTCAATGCAGGGAGGATTACTCCAGGTGAATGAAATTCAACACATAAATTAGGCTTTGTAATGAGTGTTTAATGTAGATGAGAGGGCTCTTTGTGCTGACACTGTCACTTCATGCACTTTTTCCAGTCAGTTCAAAGTTAATAAATGCTAAGATTTGTTAGTGGAGAAGTTTGATTTGTATCTTATAGCCAGTGGAGGGGGATAAAAAAGTTCACAGTGAATGATATTATCAATCTGAAAAATCTGTGTATCTGAATAGAAACAAAACAATTAACACTGTCAGTTACTCCTTAAGCTGATAAACTTAGATTTCTATTTAGTCAGTAAAAGTGCATGGGAGAAGATAAATAAGAGGAAAAATGTTTACTTTGGCCATTTTGGGGTAGAGAGGCTGAGGTGGAATGAAAGAGTAACAAGAAAGGAGAAGATGATTTGTTGTTATTACTGTGGCAAAAAAAAAAAAGTCATTTTAGAGTTAGATACATGACTCTTGTATATATTTAATACCTACACAAAGGCTGAATCTCACCACACAGAAAGTCTGGCCATAAAAGATATTTTCTATGGTAGGGAGCTTTAGAAAAACATTTGGCTGCTTCACGGTCACATTCACATGCCATTTTTTGACATTCATCTTCTAGTGAGTCTGAAAGAAAACACAGTAAGTCTGATATTAGTCTGAATAAATTAAAAACCACAAATGGAGTACTAAGAATTGCTCCCTCATGTTCCATATTTACCATACAAATGCCTTACATTTCAAGTGCAATAGGAACTGTCCTGAGCTTTGGTAAGACTGGGAACCTGTGGATCAATCAGTAATCACCAATCTTGGCAGATGAAAATACAACACCCAGATAAAGACTTAAATATTCTTTCAGTTTTTTAATAAAGGAACTCTGATAACTGATCCCTCTTTAGCAAGTGGTATGGGACCCTCCCTGCCTTCCCTCTTGCTCTAGTGAAACTTGGCTTTGGGAAGATATTCCATTCACATACCCTTTATGATCTACTATAGGATATAGCATTAAAAATAATACATGGGATATGTACATGGCATGCAAAGGTGTTCCATGTCCAGCCTAAACTGCCCACCTTTTTTTTTTTTAAGGCATTCAGTAAGAATATAGGTAAAGTGTGTTTGTGTGATAAAATCCATGTCATGTTTGTTTTATAACTAGTGTTGTAATTTAACAGATTTCTTGGCATGTGTGTTTCTTCTTGGCATGAACGTTTTCTTCTACAGCAACGTATTTTGGGTTCAGTGTGCCAACCCAGAAGTGTGTGGTTTTTTTCTCTCTGTAACTGTCTGTAAACTGAAGAATCCTTGATTACATTTTGTCTGAATGTTTACCATTTAAAAAGCTTAGCCAAATCTCTGCTTGAGATTTGTCCAGGAGCAGAACAAGTGTTCAATTTTGTGAATGAACTCAAACTCTGCCATGAAATGGAAGTGTTCTTAATGTATATGTGTTTATGCTGCAACTAGCTGCCCTAAGAGCTGCTCCATAGCACAGGTGGCATGAACAACATGATGGGATAAAAAATCAAAACATGTTAACTGAGAACTATTCCTTCTTCTGTTCTCCTGGTATTGCTCCAGACTATCTTCCCCATGCTCCACCAGGAATTTGGTTTCCTGACACCATGCCTGCCGTCTTGGCCAATATTTTGGATATTGTCAGGAGCAGAATCTTTACAGCCAAACAAGGGTGGACTGTAATGTGATTGATTAGTGTGCATCTGATTTTAAAAACAGAACAAGCAAACAAAATCCCAAACAACACACAAACACAAAACTAATATAAAAAGATGACCACCACAAGGAAAAAAAACCCTGTAAATACTGGAGGCTTGTGAGAAGGTACAGTTTCAGTGAGTCTTTGAGTATATTGGAAAGCATTTGCTAAAACTTAGGGAGTTATGAACAAATAATGTAAAAGAAAAGCTGCTTTTTCTTGATAAGCATTTTTTGGTTTTTTTTTCTTTGTGATCTCTTTGTCCTTCCCTTACCTCAGCATGGCAAGTATATTTTTGGAACAATCAAACAATCAAGATTTATCAGGATGTGGTCAGCAAGCTGTTGCAATTTGTACATTTGTGTTACGTAAATATTTTCAAATTAATATTTGTTAAATTAACTTCCAGAAATAAACATACTCATCAAATATTTTATTACCTCATAGTTTGAAACTGTACACTGTAATGATGAATTCATTCATAAATTGAAGCCATCAGTGCCACTGATCAGAGATAAATACACCAAAAACATGTCCATTATAAACTTAGAGATAGTGGGAAATATTTCCCACTAAGTATGGAAAAGATCCTTTTTAAACGGTTAAATTTTATTGTCTCCTGTTTGTAGTTGCTCTCCAGCTGGAGACTTACAGGGAGTAGCATAAACTGGATTCCTCAGCAAATGTAGATGCTGAGTAAAAGGAGGATGGTTGTGGTTGTGTTTTCTGAACAGGTAATAGGTGTGTCTAGATAAGTTTTGTTTGCTTATGTCAGTCAGTAGGGGAGGATTAAGAAGAAGAAACTGCATTCAGTTGATTGGTTTAGCTGTGCTTTCTGGAGGCACAGTGTATCCTGGCAAAAAATTCACAAAAGGAAGGATGGTAAACTAAGAGTTTTACAGTTAATTAAGAAAATACCTTTCTAGTGAGATAATTAGTAGAAGCAAGAAACAACCAAACAAACCAAGCAAAATAAATAACCCAACACCAAAACACTCCCAAGTGTTCACTCACCACACACAGCAGAATTGTCTTTGCATTCCCAGTGGTAACTCTCAGTCTTTGGCTGACAACCTGCTTGTTCTGCTCTCCCATAGCAGCAGTCGTGGTGAAAGCAGCACCTGAAAGGAACAGAAATGGTCATTTATGGTCACACAGTCTGGGTGGGGTTTATCAGTGGATTATTACAGCTGGGAAATAATAAAACAGTCAACATCAGTGAGTGTACAAACTGATGAGAAATTACCTGCTCAGGAAGCAAACCAGGTTTGGTTTCATAGATCACCTGCAAAAAATCACTACTTTTACATGTAATAAGTGATGAGAAAAACGTCTGACATACATTGAGCTAATTGAACCTTCAGAGCATTCTCAGTTACATGTGAGTATGCTTTTCTCCTAGTGCCTTCCACAAAATGAACTGTTAGCTCATCATCATCAGAAAATTCAGAAAGTTTCTCAATTATTGTTTCAAAATGTTCTTATCATAATTGGCACAAAGAATTTACAGGCTTTCTATGACATTGTGAAACTGAACAGTATAAGTAAGAATTAATGACATTTTAATGCGTAAAAAAAGGCATTAAAATATGCTGATGTAGTGTCCCTGGTGTGGAGTCATTGCAAGCCCAGAAAAGCAAGTAGAGGAGTTAACATGGACCTGAAATCAGGCAGCTTGTAAGTTTTTGCTGTAAACTAATTACATCCTTTCTTTTTGACTTGCTGGAAGAACTGGGTGTATCCACAAAGCATTCATTCATTCATTCAAATTTCTCCTGGTAGCCTAAACCCGTCAGATTACAGTCAGTAAATAGTGTTTTAGGTTGCCTGAGGAATTTGTGTCTGCAATAGGAAAAGTTAATACTGTGAGCTTTCACTTTGCAATTACTGTTTTTCCTGTGCTTTTTAAATAATTACTTGGTCATTCACCACAAATCGCTGTGTAAAGATCCTGTGGTACAGAACAGTTGAACAATACAGCTCAGTAACACCATTTCATGCATAGAAATTTTTAAAAAACCCAAACCACACAACAGAACAAACTCAGAACAAAAGGCAGACAATTATCTTCTTGCCAGTTAATGTTCAATTATAAATTACATTGATGATAGTCTATCTGCTGGATTTAGAACTAAATGGAAAGGTTTGGTTTTTAGAATAATTTTGCAGTAGGTTGAATTTTGCATAATACTTATGTATTATTTTGAATACTAATAACATGGAAGATAGTAAAATCAAAATATTTTTTATTGCCTTTGTTTTTTAATTTTTACTTTAGATAGCTTCAGTGTTTGAACTTTAAAGCTTCTCCAACAAGACTTTAGTTATTTAGCTCTATGCTGAACAGCAACAGCAGAGAAACTCAGTTTTACTGTGAATCCTGTACTAATGCAATGAAAATTTCAATCAAAGGCAAGAAGTGTAGATCTACAGAAACACAATTTGAACACCTCAGAGTTTCCTAGCAATCTCAGCTGTGTTTAAACTCAGTTCCCTCTCTCAAATAGGCCTACTTTGTATTTTAGTCCTTTTATTTGTCATCTGCATTCAGCACTTAATTGGTCAGATAAATAGTTACTCTCACCAGTCCACTCTGTCCTTGGGCCATCCTTTTCCTCCCAGGCCACAGTAGCATCCATAGCGTAGGTAGGCAAAAGGGGAGCGCCCTGTGGTGCATCTGATGGCTCCGGCTAATTCCAGAATTCCTCTCCGATTTCTCAAATGGGCTTCCCCAAAAGTGCCTTTATAAACTGTGGAACAAAAACTGTTATTGAATCCAACATGCAAATATAAAATGGGATTGTTTGGGTTTTTTAAAGCATTGATAATAAATGGCAGTACTTGAAGACAGTCCAGTTTTATTTTTGACACTTTAGGGCCACACGGCTTGACCCAGTCCCTTTGTTCCCAGTCCATGGTGAGCTGAGAACAGCTGCAGTGTTTCAGTGCACAGTGGCAGAGCAGTCATTTCCAGTCTTCCAGCTCATGAGGGCCAGCATGCATTCTGTGGCCCAGGCCCACCCAGTTGCTAAGATTAGCTGCCCCAGGGTTGTAGTGTTTTCTCTTTAACATAACGTGCAATTTTGCCCATGTTATTTTGTAGAATGTAGTGCTTTACATGGAACAAATAGGTCCTTTATGACAGGGTTTTGGTTTTCCTCATTTTTAGACAAAGAAGCCAAATAACTGATGGGGATCATGTGGTGGATGTAAAGCAGGGAAATGGGTGGGTGCTTGAAGTGTTTTCCAGGCAAATTAGAAAGGTGGGGTTTGGTTATTTTCCTGTTTACTTCTCTTTGGCAGTTTTGTTGTTTAGTTGATTCTCACTATTATTTCTCCAGAACAAAACTTACTTTAGGAACTATATTTTAACCATCCCATATCTGTACTAAAGCAAGAGGTCCTAAGCAGCAGAAAACTGTTGAGACTCTGGGTGACATTTTTAGGGATTCATGCATCCTGAGAGGTTGAACTAACACACTGAAGACCCCAATGGTAATGGGCAGCCTCTCCTTGCAGTGCAGGCTTCAAGCTAGTCACAGCAAATTTTAAGAAGCTGAATGACTACAAAACAAATTAGTTTTTAGAAGGCTTCTGATTAGAGTTTCTTATTAATTAAACTAATTACTTATTTTGGTATGAGGAGAACAGTTTATGAACCTAAACTCCAGTACTGGTTACAGATTCCAAAAGACATTAAGATTTAATAACTGATAATACCTGTGATGGAGACAGACAGCAGAAAAAAAAATAGACTTCATCAATGAAGGTTTTGATAGCTACTTTCCTACAAAATAGCTATATGATTATGCAGTTTTAATATGATCTACATAATCACATAATCTATTATAATAGCATAATAGAGTAATCTTTTTTAACAGATTATATAACAATAGATTATATGATTAACTATAATCAGTTAATGGAAAATCTGACAGAAAAAATACCGGTCCCAGCAGAGTTGAGTAACTTGAAATGTGTGGGATGCTGGTGACCTCTGGGATTTAAACACCTTATGAAATCACTTCAGTAAGAAATTCAATTGGTTTGTGTGTGAGAATGGTAAAAAAACACTTCAGGAGGAATCCTGAGACAGCATTTAGTACTTTCCTGACCATTCCCACATCTTGTCCCTCCTGCTTTTTGGCCATGTGATCTAGGGGCAGAAGTGTTGAAACAAGGGCGTTTAAACTTGCACATGCAGCTTTGGCCATTGATTAAAAGCAATCATATCCTGAGGAATTAAGAAAAACTTCCTTGCTATGTAGTCGATTGCAGTTTCATTTCAAAACTGCTGAGTTGGCACTAAACTTCCTTGCTAAGATACTGAACAGTATCTGTTGTCCATGGCTCCTGTTCCAGAACATTTCCTGAACCTTTTGTGTGAAATTTTGGTTCTGGGTAGCAGGAGCATCCATTTGGTTATTAACAGATTAGTTTTATGATAGCATTGAAAGTGTTTTCATGTCATTGTCAGTACATTGTTCAGTAAATTCTGAGCTGAAAACCCTGCAATAAGGCTCCAGCATTACAAGTGACAACTGGTTATGCTCTTCAGTGTTTAGTAATGGTTACTCATGTAAACAGCCAGTCATTACTGGCTGGAACCAATGGCAAAGCTGGGTTTGCTCTGCATGACCTTGAAGATTCTGAAAAAAGTGAAAAATTTTCACATTGTGTCTCAGTTCCTGGCAGCTAGGGAAGGGTGGTGTAGGAGAGATACAAGTCAGGAATAAGAAAATAAGAATTTCCAAGTCATATTCCTGGTTTCATCAGATAATTGTTTGCTAACTTGGAACAATTCCCAGTCCCTTGATTTAAATCCATGACAAGTAGAAGTGAAGAACTGCCTGGTACCTCAAGAGCTCAAGTATAAAATGCCATGTATCTTAAAGAAAAGGACATAAACTTTTTGTCCTTTTAATATATTTGTGTTACAGCATCTGGACATCTAATTGTAAACCAGCATGGCATAGATACTCTGAATATGATACTGTCACAACAGCTTTATGAGCTGAGTTAATAAAAGCAATTAAATACCATTAGAGAATGCACAGAACTATAGAAACAATCAGAGTTTCAAGATGATGATGATGATAGCATTGGTGATTTTGCCATGTAACAAAATCTTTAAAGTGTTTTATCAGAAACGTTGTGGAATACAGTTAGAGAGTGAATTGACATTCTGTGTATTTCCAAATATTTTATAATTAAGTTCTTTAAATCTGTGTGGTTTTGTTTGTTTTTATGAAGACTTTGTGAATGGGAGGTTTGATTATGCATTCCTGAAAGAGCAGTGTTGTCCCTTGATATCTAGTCTGTTTTTTGGATTTTGTCATGCAGATTGTGTGCAGCTGTGTCAAACACAACCTTGTAAGTGGAGAAAAAGGGAGTGAAGCAGATTGGATTTCTTTTAATTTCATTGCTTTATAAGGTATTTTAAAAATCTCTTCCCTTAAATTTCCATATGCAAAGAGGGGAAAAAAAGTTAGAAACACATTAATTTTTTTGTGAAAGATCATATTACCTATAATGTTTTACTCTTTTCAATTGGCTCAATGCAAAGATAATGATTATTTTTCCAGATACATACTCACATTTTTATTAAGATGTACAGCTTTTCATAATTATGATACCTAACTACATTATTAGCATCCAATACAATGTATGCTGTTTTGTGGGTTTAAAAAGAATTTTTAAGCCATTCTTTCAAAGACTGAGGGTACAGAAACATTTTTTGATGTTAAATACGTGTAAAATTTCCTTTAGGTATTACTCTATGCAGTCATAGTGCTCCAGTAGTTCAAAACTTGAAACCTGGGAATAAGCAGACTTTCTGATGCATTTCCAAGATCTTGCAAAAAAGAACTGTATGCCTTATAGAAACCTTAGTTTCTACTTAGATTTTTAACTCTTGTTTCATAAGCCAGCAGGGGTGGCCTTTTCCACCTCATTTTATTGCTCGGACAACTTACATGCTATCTCCACAAACTCTGGTCACATGTACATTTTTTTGAAACGCTAAATTTGCCTGTTTTGATACTTTGGACCAATTAGGAAACAGGTAGATTGCATTTCCCATGCTCCTCACTGCCCACGGAGTGGGTGACTGAGGTGCCTGACTCAGAGCTATCGGAGCGCAGCCAGGCTCTCTGTAATGAGGCTCCAAGCTGGCAGAAGCAGTGATTTCATTGCTTTCCTTAATGTTCTTGCTGAGGTTTGTGCCATGCAAAGGGTGATGTCTGGAGGATGATCAAAATGCAGAAGGAATCATAGGGACTATGTGAGGTCAGGAAGTAGAATTGGGGCAGGGAGCTTCGTGGGGCCCTAAGTTGGCCCCATTATGCAAGCACCTTACCTTATGGGCTTTAATCACACGACTGCCTTCCCCCAGACCCTGCTCCACTCTGTTCCCAGAATCTGTTCTAGGAATGAATTGAGGCTCTTTTCTTTAGGATCCTGCTATTTGCAATATTTGATGTGGTGAATTTGCAAGCTGGGTAGGAATGTATAAAAAAAGTTCAAGAGAATCTTTTAGTAAAGGCAGCGGATTACTATTCTGGAAGATAGGATTTTATCCTTACAGCTGTCACAAAGGTTCAGCATGAGGTTAATTTAATCACTAAAACAATGCCTATTTACAAATAGTAAGCTCCCAGCCTGCTAAATATCCTGGGGTTGGAGTACCAAGGTACCACAGCACTCAGTGAGAACCAACTGCTTTGAGCAGTTGAAGTTCCACATAATTTTATGTAGTTGTACGTAAAATTGGGTTCTAGCATATCACCATGGCGACCTAAAATTAGAGAATGCTTTTTTGTGTCAGTCCATGTACCTATCTGAAAAAGAGGGACCATAATACAGTTTCAGAAAAATTAGTACAATCAGATACTATACTGATGAATACCTCACAAAACTTATGAGGAAATGGACTGAGAATTGTTACAACCAGTCTTTAACATTGATTAATAAATAGGATGTAGGACACAAAAAAAGAAAATTAAATCTTTGCAAAGTGAGTAATTGGCTGTGTGAAGGTGTGAGGCAGGGGTCCTTTAATTACATTCTCACATCATAACTCATTCATGGAGACTGATTCATTTTTCAGAATAACCCAGTTAGGGTTTTGTAGGCAATCTCAGTTCTAGCAATTCCTGCTCCTGAACTACTTAGTAACTCAAGTTCTCTGCGACAGCTCACTCCAATACTCAAAGAGTGGGGGTAAAGCTACTGGCTTTATAGAAAGATTGTTATTGCACGTGCAAGCTGCAAACTGATTTGAAACGCGGAACTTCGTTAGCAGAGTTGTACATTAGTGCTGAACTTTACAGGAGTAATGTGCGCCTCTCCAGCCCCGCTCCCGTGCGCAGCTGTGCTCTCAGCTCCGGCCGGCAGCGGCACATCGGGGCTTCCCCTGGGCGAGTCCCACCCAGCTGTGCCCGAGCGCTGGCCACCTGTCACAGGGACTGCTCTCCGGTGTGAGAAGACAGGCGCTTCCCGTGAGTGTTTCTCCTAACACTCCTTTCTCTACCCCTCTTCCCACCTGCCCCCCGAGGCTGCCAAGCCCCATCCGGCCGGGTCCGGGCAAGGGAGCGCATCCAGCAGAGCCCGCAGAGGCGCCGCTGGACGGGGCCGCTTCCCTGCCGGGAAGGACGGTGTGGATGCCGAGCCCCGGCCGGGGCCGTGCTCTACTCACCGGCCGCCGGCAGCAGCAGCAGCAGGAGCGGGGACAGCGGCGCCATGGGCAGCGGCGGGCGGGGGTGCGGGTCCCGGCAGTGCCTCTGCGCTCAGCAGCGGAGTGTGTAGGTGTGAGCCGCGGCGGCGGCGTGCCGGCTATAAAAGGCTGCTTTCTGCCCCGAGCCGGGTCCCCCGGAGCCGGAGCCCAAGTCCAAGCTGTGCTGTCCATCTGGCCAGAAGGGAGGAGCTGCCGCTGGAAGAGCCGGCGAGAGCTGGGACCTGTCACTCGGGCAGCGGAGCGCGGTGCACGCACAGGGGGTCACACCCCGCAGGTCTGGGATGGGGGCCGCCTCTCCTCTCCTCCACACCTTCCTCCTCTGGCAGCTGTATTTTCTTTTTGAATTACAGCAGTTCCTAGGTAATTCAATCTAGATCTGAAGAGGAAAGCAGGAACCGTGTTGTAAGTTAGTCTAGTGGTTAATTATAACCAGAGCTGAAGGCATGCTCTATCTGGAGTCTACATCAGCCAGATTTCATCTACTGATTGTTCCTTTCCTTGGATGACTAAAGGACAACCAACTCCCAAACCAGTTACAGATATTTGTAGCTTCATAAAAACTTTTTAATTGTACCTCAAACAAAATAGACTCTGTTTTTTGTACATTGTATTTTATTTGCAGATTTTTCCATTCCCTTTCCAACTCTTGCATTATTTTGTGAAACATACAACCAGGTGGCTTATTACGACCAATTTCATTGCTTCTCTCAACACACAGACAACACTACTTGCTTTTATGTGATTTTTTATGTGCTCGTACTTTCCGAGTATTTCTTCAGACCTTCTATTAATGCACTGAAACCAGTGCATTTCCTCTTAGTTGTTCAAGCAATCAGGAGCCCTGAAATTTAGAGTAATGATTTTGTGTGCATGTGTTTTGTCTTGTGGTGTTCATACTTCTTTTTTTTTTTTGGCATTATTATATTCCAGGATATTACCCCCTTAGGATCCCGTTGAGGCCTACACTGCTAGAATAGGGAAAGACGAATAAAACTAGTTTTATTTATGGAACTTATCAAGAACTTTTTCTTGGTTATGTCATCTATGGCATTACTGGAGAGCAGCTGGCAGTTTGGTGGGGGGGTTTTGTGAATGGTTTTTCATCAAAGAAAATAATTTTTTCATGCACATACTGAGTAATAATTATATTTTTGCATTAAAATGCTCTGATTTCTGTGTTATAACATTCCTCTTTATTCAGGAGAGGTAGAAAATCGTATGTGATTTGATTCCAAGGACAAAAAGCATGCACAGACAGATCAGATGTGTTTTTATTATGCTCTCATTAATCCAAGCTCTCTGAAGTGTTTGTGTTGGCACTGAAGTGAGGGTAGCGTGGGATAAATGTGGAACATCAGAGGCAGGATATTGATTTGCCATTGTACACCTGGTAGGCCTTTGTGCAACTGCGTGCAGAGCACCAGGAGAGGTGTGGCAGCTCTGCCAGGACTGCATGGCACCTGGCAAGGCAGAGGGTGCCGGTGTGAACTCCACACAGCAGAAATAAGCAGGGTTCCACCCAGAGTGTTCTGCAGACAGGGGGAGGTTTCTGGAGGCTCCCTGTGAAGCCCCGATGCCTGGCAGGTCTGTACTGAGCAGCCACAGGTGCGGTGTGCTGGGATAATGCTGCCAGCCCGTCCCTCTCCTTCCACCCCGTGCCTGGCTCTGGCCAACATGGGGAGCACAACTGCCACTGTGTGTCCCAACACAGCTGGAGTAGAATACAAGTGAAGTGCGTTGTGTGGCAACCAGAAAGATTGCTCATAACCCTTATAAGGGTTGGTAGAAAACCCATCTATCGGGGATTTTTTTTTTTTTTATTAAGATTTCATTGCTATTGCCATCAACTGGGTCAGGGCAATTTTCCTATTACTCATGGAGTCACATTGCTAATTACTGTTACTCTGGTCTTGTACTGTCACTTATACTTCATTTGTTTACCGACTCTTCCGGTCAATAAGTCACACCTATTAGAACACTTTAATGGTGTCTGAGAGCTGCTTAATGAACCTTCAGTTGAACACTGTCCCATGCAGCATACCATTGCATATGACAATGAAACTGTATCCAAGGCAGAGAGATGCATTACGCTTCATGTTGTTCTTCAGGACACTGACTGATGCAATGTGTTAGTGCAGCTGATATGTTTTTCTCTGAAGAAAGGAAAATAACCTTATAACCACTGAAAAATCAAGTGAGACTGAAATTCTCAGACTACAGCTTCTTCTCTCAGAAAGTACACAAAGATATGTAGGGACAGAAACTGTATATAGTGATGATATATGGAATGCAAGTCATGAGTTATGATTCCTGTGAGTGTAGTAAAAGTTCAAAGGAGAACATCCAGTGAAACTGGTGAGAGGGGAAGGAAATCTGATAGAAGGAAATACTTTTATTGAGGCAAAGCTAGATTGTCCAGTTAATTGCCAGGCATATGGCTAAGAATATATACCAGACTGGAAGTCCATATGGATTACAATGATAAAGTCATATTTTTTAATATTAGATTTGGTTCCCTTTAAATTTCTTAATTAAAAACTTATGTGGCAGTATAGACTTGTCATATTTCTTTTTGTAGTGTTTCTTTTCCTCTATTTAAAGCACTTGGAAACTGGCCTAAGTCATATGTGACAAATGGCATTTTCCCTCTTACTGATGAATTGCTTCTGTCTGTCAACTGGAGCTGTGCAGGGGTGGAGAGAGCCATTTGCTTTTCAAATATACTTTCTCAAACAAGGCTGCATGTACCTTACGATTGCTGAGAAATAGATTAATATAATTGAGACACATGGCTGTACTGATGAATATTCTCACAGCATAACACTATTATTGGCAAACTTGTTAAATGAGTTCTAACAGCCTCATTTCACAGGGTCCAGGATTATGTACATGCTGGAAAATGAGAGAGTATGATAACCCAAAATGTTAAAATGTTTATGGAAAGTGCTAGAATGGTCTAAAATATACTAAGTGCAAGTTATCCACTACCCTGTGATCAGGTGAATGTAGTGATCTTAAGAGAACTGTAACAGTACATTTACTGCTGACTTACCAGCTGAAAAGCTGTATTTTTGTAGTAATAATAGTTCAATTAACATTTTTCATTTAGCAGGAGCAGTTCTTTTTCCTGAGAAATGAAAAAGCATGGCACCTACCTTGGTCAAATTTATATATATTCTGCATTTAGCCGTTGTGAACCAATGTAGTGTTGCTGCTGCTGAGTACAGAGGTACTAGGGTCTGTAGGTGTCTAAGCAGAGTCCTAAAAAGTGCCTACAGCATTAAGCACGTGGCATTTAAGCCATAGGACATACTTGCTACTCCACTGAATTAATGAACTAATAAAGAATGGTGAAAGAAATTATTTTCCCATTGTTAGAGATGGTAATGGAGGGAGGATGATTTGCTTAAGGTGCTTTATGATGGCTATAGCAGAGCTGGAAAACAGGAATTTGATGTTTTGCATCCCAGATTAAGTCCCAGATTGGGCTCTTCTGTGGCACTGTCTCCTGGAGCAAAATAAGGAAAGAAGCACATGCCTTATTGTGAGGGTATCAGAAAAATGAGAACTGAAGAGTTGCTTCCCAGAAATTAAGTCAAATGACTGTGTTTACTTGTTGCTATACTTGGTAAATGTCTCTGAGTTACCCCACATCTTCTTAAACATTGGACTGGGACACAGGTTGTGCTTGGAATATATCCTTTACAAGTGTATGTTTTTCGGATACTGAATGTCCACATAGTACACAACTTCTTTATCATTGTTGTCTTCATAAAAATACAAAGCCAAACAGCCTTAATTATCTGAGAATTTGTTTGGAAACATTCAGTGCCTTTGTTTCTATTTCTGGAAGTCTGGCTGGGATTCCTCACTTTCATGTCCTTCCATCTTCTCTTAGTTCCTTTGCACAATCAATGCTTCCTGTTTACTAATGTTTTCCTCAGCTCATTTTTGGAGTTATTGGAGATGTTGTCCCAAAATGTACAAGAGTTATAAAGCCAAGTTTGGAGAGACAAGCTCCATGTGGAAGATTAGAAAACAGTCTGCTAAGCCATTTTACAGTATTTCGCAATGTACATGTATTATCTCAAATCCATTTCTAACACACACAACACAATCCAACTTTCAGACTATACCAGCCTATAGCATAACTTGTAATGTCTCTGGTAATAATAAATCTCTGAGTAGCATAATATATCCCAAGAGAACTTTGGGGGACCATGTCTGTAGCATTGTCCTTTCCACACCCTTTGGCAGCACTGTTACTCTGTCCATGCTGCAAAAACACCATGCAGTGTGTCACTGCCCATAACAGACAGTTGTGTGCTGGAAAGGTTGTTATTACAGAAATGGTCTTGAAACTGCTATAATGTTTGCAGAGGAGCTGAATTACTCCCACAGCTTTCTACAGTTTTGTTTTTTTCCTGATCCCCATTCTCCCCTCTGCTCCTTTAGAACAACAGCTGCTAGCACAGTCCTTTCTGTCCATACAATCACCCAGGCAAGTAACGAGACTGCAAGAACGTCCTCAGAGCACCACGTGTTTACTAATGCACTTATGTCCATTTTTATGGCATGGAAATACATTGCCTGCCTTTGAGCAAAGGCACACACTGGAGATGCTGGGGAAGGATTCCATTAATAACTTCCAGCTTGCTTAGCTCTTAGGTTCTGACAGTCATCTCTGCCTTCCAGAACATTTGCACTCTCTAAGTCAAATTCTACATTTGGCATTTGCATCCAAAAAAAGACTCACGGCCTGCTTCTTGTGGAACCCAGGGCTACTTATTTTTATAGCTTGAGAAAAAAAGACTTGGCAATGCAATGTGTGCATGTTTCTAAAACAAAATTTGGAGTCTCCAGCATATCTCTGGGAGGATATTTGACTTGCTTTCTTTATATAAGTTACATCAACTTAGATTCTTGAAATGGCTGATGTAATGACCAGGATGATGGGATAGAGTAACCTCTCAGCACATTTGTAGGTGATATCAAATTGGGGGGAGT